GGTTGCTGCTATAATGCCCGAACACCAACATCTTAGCAACTTTCGACTCATGGTTGTGTTTTATTGCAGCAACAGCTGAGGTGAATGGTTTTCCATATTCTTCTTGATATACCGCTGCGTCTTAGGATTCGCGGTACTAAACGTAGTTAATGCTGTTTTCGTGCAACAAACTATGAAGACTGCCAGCTCTGACGAAGACTTGGCGTTTAAGCAGAAGGAGAAGGACGTGACTTGGCAGAGACATTGAATGTGTGTTCTGTTTTGGGTCAGTCAATGTGGTTCTATTAGGAACATAGGCCAGAAGCCGTGAGATGTTTCTTCATAGCGCATTCCCCCAGCCCAGGTGGCCATGTACACGCGCAAGGTCAAGAAGCTTTTCCAAACCATCGATGTTTCAGGTGATGGAACGATAAACTTAGAGGAATTTGCCAAGCTGGTCCAATCGCCAAGATTGAAATTTTGGATGAGCCAGTTGGAGTGCCTCTTCTAAAAATGTTGGTTGAGGATCGGTTCGGATCGGATCATTCTGCAGACACAAAGGTGTTGGAGCCCGGATTAACAACTTTACTATGTAATGCTTCACAAAACAGGCAAAGATCCTCTGGACGCCGCTATGAGTCGCATGTTCCACCTATAACTTGACAGATTGATTCAGCGGTACATCCAACATGGTTTTTTTCGCTGAACGTTTGCTGCCTTTACAAAAAACTTGCATCTCGTTGCCACAAGGTTGGAGTACCACGATTTGCTGAGTCTCTTCGAGTTCTTAGACAATGGTGACGGAGTTTTCTGGCTGCAATAAGGCATGGGCTGGCCAATGCGTAGGTCCACGCGTGCGGGCGCTCTCGTTTTACAAGTTCTTCATGGTGGTTTTTCCTGGAAGTTTTGCAAGTTCAACATGCTGGATAACAGAGGACGTTTTGCATGTACAGCTGTTTTTTTTTCTTTTTTTTGTAACGCTTTGCATGGCCAGCTCGAATGCTTGCGCACAGAAGTTTGGATGCTGCGGAAGACAATGCCAAGGAGATTACGCTGATGGAGTTCATTGAAGGCTAGGAACTGTTGTCCGCAAGACATACCTAGCATTACCTGACATAATTTCAACATCGTTGTTGAACACAGCTTTTGCTTTCGGCTCATGATTTGCGTCATTAAGTTGGGCCTGTTCAGTTCCAGCCTCTTTAAAGTGATTCATGTTTGCAACAATTGCGGCCCTTGGCATGTTCGATTTTCGGGCTCGTGTCAGCCTCGATATTACACCAAGAAGGCGAACCTTGGCTTTGCCAGCATGTTGCCCTCTTATTGAAGAAAACTTCAAGGGCATCTCTTGCAACAGACAGCTGGCATCTGTGTAGCATTATTCCGGTCCTCATTCAGGATCTTGCTCTTTAGCTTGCAACTTTAAGCTTCGTCTACACAAATTGCTAGTCTTCGAATGTGAACAACATTCCCCTGATTACCATAAACTCAGCATGTCTTGATTTCCGCATGCTGCGGAAGCAATGCCCCTGAGCCGTCCCAACGCCGAACTGGAGCAAGCCGCAGACCCGAGAAACATTCGCTTATCCAGAATCTGGAAACTAGACTCCTTCCGCGACAAGACAAAGCTTGTTCTGCTTGTTCAGTTTTCGGTAGATGCGGATCCTTTTTCAGTAACAGGAGGTGGTCTCTGCAAGCAACTGCCGCAGATAAGGTTCCAGACCTTCCATTTGCGTCCCTGACATTAGCATGTACCTAGACCTCCCATATGCCATAATAATGGTCCTGTATAGTCAGTTACGATGGATATGTGGGAAGTCTAAGTAGACCCTGGCTGTTGCCAGGTGCGTCGCGCTTGCGTGGCGGAGCGAAGGCTTTGGATGTATGGCGTCTGGAGACCAAACTGGAGGCTGGTCCAGGGCTCCTTCATTCGAGTTGGAAGCCCTCAAGGTTCAGATCTAGAGTTTGCTGCTGAAAGATTTGCACAGTCGTTGATTATTGAAGCCAGGCTGATCTCGAGCTTGCATTATTTCCATGAAATCTCCTAGCATGGACATCCGGCGGGTATCCGGGCACGCCAGACCCTAGTGTGATCTTCTCACCCTCCAAGCTCCTACCTGAAGCCCAAAAGAAACATTACAACACAATTGGTTTATTCTCACAATTATGGGCACATCTTGGATGTGAGTTCTATTGCCTCGCTCATTTTTTGGGATACCAAAAATGGGAGCCCAATTCTGGGAAGTGCCCGGCTGATTGTCTTTTTGGCTCTGATTAGTATGGTTTTTGGGTCATGAGTTCACCTACTGGCTAGTATGGCTTTGGGGTCATGAGTTCACCTTCTTTTCAGGGAAGGTAGAGTGTATGGAAGCAGCAACACGGTGTCTACGGGCATGGTTTAAAATTTGAGTTGCAAGTTGAATCTAGTGATTGAGATTGTGCAGCAAATTTCTATATTGTTGGGAACTGTATAGGGCCTGGTACAAAGATCCATTCCTCCATTCCGTACTGACAACCAGCAAGTCAAGCACATTTGTGCACTGCTCCAGCAAGGTGTAGGACGTGATGCTCCCTGGACCAATGGCTGGACTCATACCATCACCCCACTCCTATCACACACACCCTACAGCGCATGGCATAGTCCCAAAAAAATCATACTCGTCTTATACCATAGCCTAGACTCCAACACCCCACGCCCTGAGTAGGCTAGACTGGATCATCATGGGGAAGAAAAGGGCCCTCCAACAAGGAGGCCTTAAATTTGAAAAACACCAAGCTCACCTCTCCACGAACTCAGTACATACATAGAGCTACAATGCAACCTTCAGAGCAAGACCCCAAAGTCTGCGACACCAACACCAACATGAGGCCAGGTTGTTCTTAGCCGGTTTGGGGTTTAGGGGTTTTGGTGAGAGTATCTAGGACTCCACTGGAGGAAGTAGAAATAAGAATCCTACTCTACATCCATATGCCCTAAATCCCAAAGCCTTGAGGCTTAGACCTGAAATCGCCCCTAAACCCCTCAAATCCCCTAAACCCTCAATGCGAAACATAGGTGCTCTTTGAGGAGGTGCTCGTTTCTTTGCGTCCCATGGCTACACCCAGCCTCGGATTGAAGGCCGCCACGGACCAGGATGAGGAGCCTGCGGATGAAGGGCTTAAGGGGCAATAGGGGCTACATTATGTAGGGTTTATATATAGGGATTATACAGGGATACTACCTCCAATAGTGGAGAATCAACTGGACAAGCAAATGGGAAATGAAACGGAAACTGGGATTCTAGGATAGTTTATAGGGATTAGGCTTATATGATCTACAGTCTACACTCCTTAGAAGGATATGTAGGGGACCACTTTACAGGTTATTAATGGGGATGCTAGGGGCTCAGACTATAGCTCACATAGGGCTTTCGAAGGGGTTATGAAGGGTACGTAGGGATACGTAGGGTTTGGGGGGCTTGGTGTGAGGCTCTTGGGTTGATAGTTCAGGGCTTAAGTTTGAAAATAAACGTTAAAGCCTAAACCTTGGGTACTGCCCCCCACTCATTAACAGTTGGATAAAATTTAAAGGATAACTATATATAGCCCTTAATATGACCCTTATTATACACTGTTAATTGGTGGGGGGAGGACCCAACCTAAACCCCACATGAATGAGTCAGGGTTCAGGATTGCCGATTAAGGGTCAAGCTTTGGGTTGAGCGGGAAAGGTTCAGGTCTGAGGGTTTAATCAGTTCGGAGGGTTTGGCGGTCCGAGGCTTCAGCGTTTAGACTTTAGGGGTAGGGGTTTAGGGTTTAGGTGTTGGAGTGTAGGTTTTTGGGTTCAGCCTAGCAGCTTAGCAAGAGCTTCCTCAACCTCATGCTAACGAAATCGACTTTTTTGAACATGTGTAATGTTTCTTAATCTTGGAGGATTTCGGATTTCGAGGGCTTCGGATCGGTCAGGGAGAAGTTGGGAGAAGCGGGACGGCAGTGGGGCTTGAGTTTTGCAATAGTTTTTTTTGCTGACCGAGCTGTAGGTTTGGATGTACGGCTAAGTGTTAGTGTTGGGGTATAGGTGTTGGGGCTAAGTACTGAAGCCATGAACTTAAGTTGAATGTTCTAAGATTTCCGCCCTTGTGTCAGCGTTGCTATGCTTCCACCTGCAGATAGCACTGACCAGGTAACATGCGGTCCCGTGCTGTTGTATGCAAGGTCTCAGTTTGTTCTCATTCGTGTGAAGATGCATCGTCACACAAGTTCCCCTGCAGGGGTTCATTTTGGAGCCAGCTGCTTCGTCATCTGAGCCTGGAGGATGAATTCAGACTCCGATCCCCAGACAGCAAAAGCCCTAAACCCTAAGCCCGAATCTAAGACAAACCTGGATTGCACAGATGTGAATCTTGAAGCTCAAAGGCCACTGTGCAAACCTGAAGCCCTCAAGCACGAAGCTTCAATCTAAGCGAACCGGGGATACGGAATTACCAAAGTACATGCTAGGTAACAATGGCCTATGCAATGAGAGCTCATTTCAGGAGGCTATAGCTCTACCAAGGGAGGCCCAAAAGGACTAAGCCCCAAACCTTGAATCCCAATGCCTAAACCATGTGGCTGAATCATACACTGTCTGAAGCCAGGAAATAAAAGCCGCTGTCTCCAACAATGTGCAGCTAGCTTTCGAGAAGTCCAAGCTTCCTGATCTGGATCTTAAGGTTCGGGATATCATGCTATATTATACCATATCTTATTATGATATATTACAATATACTACAGAATTTTGGGTTGTAAACAATTGGGAAGGCAGTTTAGGATTTAGGTAGGGCTCTTGACGTAGGCGTTGAACTTTGGCTTTAGGGTTCAGGTTTTTGGGTGTTCCTGGGATGCTGTAGGAACCCTATATAACCTTTATAGACCTTAAGAATTTCCATTTTCTTTTCCATTATCCCCATAGAATCCTGAGCACTTTAGGCGGTGAGGTGTAGGGTTTGGGAGTTGGGGTTCGGGCATAGGTAGTGTGCCCAGCTTCTGCAATCTCTGATAGCAACAAGAAGAGAGGGGTTTTCACAGGGATAGTCCCCTTACAGCGTATCTTTCGAGCAAGAACCAGGCTACTTCGAGTGTATGGTCGTTAATTGGGAGGTTCTTTAGGGGTTTCAGGTTTTCAGGCATGTTCTTCTATTTGCGCATCATGGGAGTTTCGCACAATTCCTGCTGTAGAATCCATAATCCCTTTATCGTCTTCCCAAGGGTCCTTCATTTTGGAAACTCCTGGCTAGGTAAGGTGCTTTAAAGAATCTCTCTAAGCAAATGCTGCTTCCGATCTGCGCAGGAGCGGGTTGTTGCCTTTGGGTCATGAGTTTTTTCTTTTTAAGTAGGTGGCACTTTGGGTGGGATAATTACCATTTCCCCTACCCTAAACCCTAAATAGGGTTTTCGGGGTTGGTGGGACACCAGGTGCGGGCTCTCAAATTGTTCAGGTTGCACGTGGGGTTCAGGGCAAAGGTACAATGCATGCTGGGAAATAATGGTTTCCCAAAATTAGGAGTACTTTTTGGGAGTCCCGATAATCAGGATTATAGTTTTTGGGGTTTGTATTGGGGTCCCCCTAAGCATGGAAAGTATCAAATATTTGGATGTCTTTCCTAGGGTCTTCGCATGCTTCCTTAAAGCCCGGTCAGGGGCTGGCTTGGTTTTGCGCTGGGGAATCAGCAGTATATCTTAGGTAGACCCCCACCCTCTAATATAGTAAAATCGGAATACACGAGGACCCTAATATAATCACCATGGTTCTTTGTAGTCACTATTACTGGGTGGGGGGTCCACCTGAAGTATATTAAGAATCTACCAGGCCGTATAGTGAAGCCCGCTAAGACGCTGGATCATCCATCAATTATCTATATAATCGTTTCCCCCTAATATTAGTAGATGCGGGCTCCCCAGAATTCCAAATTCTGAAATCTGCCCCTAAGACTATTTTCAAAGGGCCAAGCCTAAAGTTAACTACGGCTCGGATCCTCTGCATTAGGGGGGGACGGTCCCGAGCACGACTCTTAAAAAATTAGAGATCTCCTTGATTTACTTTGTTTTGATTGCTTTTGAATGTACTTAAAATCATCTGAATGCGAGGTTAGTTGGGTTTCATGCAATTTTACATGGTTGTTAAATAGATTCTAATTCGGTTAAAATAGAATTTCATGTGATTGTAATCAGGTTGTAATTAGATTTCGATTAGATTTCAAACAGGTTTCAATTGATTTCAGTACGTTTTTCGTGGATTTTGAATGGTTTATTGTGTTTTTTCGGTTATTATGTTACTATGATTTGAATTAGATATCAGCGGCCGTTTATTCGATTCAAAAAATTTTCATTCGATGTTAATTAGATTTCCATCGGATCTTATCACGATAAATACACCCTAATACCAAATATGGGTCTGATTCTATACGTTAGGGGGGGGGAGATGACGTTGAATATCAGGGAGAAAGGATTAATCCTTTGTCATGGTTCCATGACCTGTCCTTCCCTCCCCACTAACCACCAGAAAGCTAAGCCCGAACTCCTATAAATCCCTGCGAGTGCATCATCGGGTGAGTTGAGCTTCGTGTGTAGGAGCTTCTAAATTCTGAGTTTCTAGGATATCACCAACCCTTTACTGAAGTGAGAAACTCCATGTATAGAAGTGACTAGGAGCAGCGCTGCTTGCCTGACTCCTGCGAAGTCAAGGAATTTCTCCTATACATCTGCCAAGGCTTTGCACACGCAGGTACTCCGGCTGCTCTCTTCCTTTCTTGTCTTGGCAGTCGTACTCTAACTTACTTGCCTCCGAGTTTGTTTTGCCTCTTCTTCGTGGCGAACTCTTTCTTCTTCTGCAGTGGAGACATCAGATGCCACGTTCGCATCTGTCTCATCCACATCTCTTGCTGGCTTTTCTTGATGCGTTTTCCGTGCTGGCCACTGGGCCCTGCGCTATTGGCAGTCAGCAGCTTGTACTCCTCCCCATAATAGTTCCTGTTTTCTCTGCCACTCAATCACAGAAAGTTAGCCAAAGAGCGCCAAGTCCCGTACATCACACCTGCCCCAATTTCCCATTTCATCTTCCATGTGGTTTTCCCTTTCATCTTCCATTCCCTTAGTCCCAACCCCAAACCCTCAACCCTAAACAACATTGCCTGCAATAGTTTCGATTTGCTTGTCCATTTCCTACAAACCACCAACGAGCTCGGCAACCTGCGCTCAGGTTTCGACACATCAAGTCTACAGCAGATGCCCGGCGCCTGAACTCTCCGGCGCTGGACGGCTAAGACTCCGTTTGTCCGGATATGGATTTTCCCAGCATGCTCTGAGTGTGAGCTCGAGCTGCGTGTTTCGAGGTTCTGTAGACTGACGTTTCACAGCGTAGAACAAGGGCATGTGCATCAGCAACACCGCGTACCTTGCCATGCCTATCGAGCTCCTAGCATTTTAGACTCAACATAAGCGAAGCGCTCCTTGGCCTCGCGATTGCATGAGCCATGCCCTTCGTAAGCTTTTCCATGCACTCTTTTACAAGCAGAATGCCATCCTACATGGTTCTACTACCAAAAACACTACTCATATGGAGATGTGTCAACAATTCGGTTCCCCCATGTCTCCAAAATCAGATTAACAACTGGCAAAGAGAAGCTTTCCCAAGATGTGGGCGCCTGGCACAGCCAGCGTCCTTCTCGAGCCCTACGCAAGAAAGACCTGCAGCTTTCACGATTTCAGGTTAGTCTCAGGCACAGGAGTAGAGGATGCCATTTGCTGCGGTCCGCCTCTTCGAGTCCTTCTGTTTGAGTTTTGTTCTCTTGCAACAGACCTAACCCAGAGGGTCCACATCCCCAGAGGCCCCTGTACAATTATTCCCTCTTAGAGGGCTTGACAAGGTCAACCATGAGAATCAGCATCGTCTGTGGTGTGCCACTGTTATCCTTGCATCCTTCTACTGCCGCCGCTACTTCTGAGTAGTAGCAGTTGTTCTAAGCCTTATTGTGATTACCTGCATGAGCGTCATTATTTCTGATTATAGTTGTCCCGTACAGTTCTTTTGGCTAGCATGGGAGTGGGGTCAAGCATGAAAGCGCAAGCCTGATTGGCAGTGTGGGTAGTGGCTAGCCGAGCGTTTTTGCGGTTCAAGGCATAGAGGTTTTATGTGTGCCATAGTCTAAACTCCTCAAAGGGAATAATATGGGGGACTATATAAGGCTATATAGGGATTATCATAGGGGTTCTTAGTGGGGATACGCTTAGGTGTTGGGGTAAGGGGCTGCCGCTTGAGGCTTCGCATTTCGGGGTTCAAGCGCACCGCATGCGGGTACGTAGTACAAGGGCTTAAAGCTGTAGCTCATCCAGACTCGCTATCCAGGAGTTTCTCAAACTAGGGTACCCTAATTGAGGACCGTAGAGATATAGCCCCCCTTAAGTAGATAGAATATGGGAGATATGGAGATCCTGTTATAAGATACCCAAAGCCATTTTCTATCTACTTAAGGAGGAGTATAAAATGGGACTAGAAGGAGATCATGCGGTCCCGCTCCTGTGTAGGAACTGGTTTGACAAACTCTCTCTTTTTGCGCATGCCCCTAAATGTAGCCTATAACCAAAAGTCCAAAAGGGGACCAGAATTTCGGGAACTAGCCGTATGAATGTGCCTTGAAATTGCAAAAAAAATATCGGCGAGATAAGCATCGCGCTGCCAAGAAGGGTACTATCCTCTATAAACCCAATCTACTGAGTCGTGAATACCCTAAATCTTAACTACAACCCCGGAACCCCTTAACCCCGAAACTGCCTTGGTGCGCACAGTGTTCTGCCTGGGTTTGCCTAGGCTACCGAACGCCAGGCTGCTTCCGATCTTTTGCTATCTTCGACCCCCAAAAAGTTGCAGGGGTACTAGAATCTTTGTGGATTTGGGGCTTAGGGTTCAGGCACGCGGGTACTGAAACAGCACCATGGTATTGATGCAGCCGTACGGTGTAGAAATCGGCAGTTGGAAAAAGACATGAATTGGTAGGGAAAGGGTTGAGTGTATAGTACGTACCATACGCACTGGTACCAGTAGTAGACGTTCCCTTTGAACCAATTTTTCTCTGTATGTTGCAGGAAGGGACCTATTCATCCATAGGTTTTGGTGAGCTTTAAAGTACCAGGTTTCTAGCCAGCTAAGGATTCTTCCCAAGGGTACGTCGTACATTCTCTGGCTAGGGTTGACGGCTTGAAACAGAGAAATCTGATTTCCGACGGGATGCCTGCATGCATGGAAATGGGCCGTATTCGGGAATGAAAGGCCTGTTGGCGGAACTTGTTTAAGCTCCTACAGTCGACTTTAGGTGATCCGCCACACACCAAGAGTATAGAGGGATCCCCATCACAATCACCTTTTCCACAGAATCCCCAAATGTCCCCAAACCGGCTCTACGGTGGGCTCTTCCTGCTTGGCAGGACTGTGATCAGTCGTTTGAGCCTGATTTGGCATAGCTCCGGCACACTCTGCAATGAGTTTTTCAGATGGAAGTACAAATATCCAAGCGTCACCACCAAAGAACCACAACTTCCGTGCCGCTAACCTGCGTCAGCGGTGGAAGGCCATCCCTACATTGCAGCCACGCGTGTTAGAGGATTTGAGCCAGTTGCTGAGAGGGCAGTGCTCCACATATAGCCGCTGTATCCTCCTAACTTCCATGTCACTTTCCGTTCCATTTCCCATTTGATTCTGCATTTGATCCTCCATCTTTAGGCGCAAAATTTCATGTGTTCAGATTCCGGGCCGGAAGCCCCGGGGTATAAGGTGCTCGCCAGCTGGCATCCCTCGCAATCTATTGATTCGATGAACGCCCTTTGTAAAGTGTCATCTTCAAGAAGGTTCCTTGTACGAGCACCCCCGCCTTACACCCTAGTCTTAACCTACACTCGAGAGGAGCACCACATATGGAGGTTTCTATTTCTCAGATTTCTGCGTCCCAGTTTGGGGGCCTCATATAGTTATAAGGACGCGAGAATCTGGCGGATACGTATCCTACTTGTGACAATTGTCAACATTCACTAAAGTAGCCTTCCCTTGCGCGAGCATTTCGCAAGAGAACTCCGCATCTTCCAACAACAGAAGCCCTCACTTTCTACCTAAACCTTCGAACCCTATACGCTAAGAACCCAAGCCATCAAACCCTAAACCCGAAACGTTACTCAGGGAGAAGTATCCATACAGTTCCCCCTTTGGCTGCAGCTTACTGAATTTCCGCCCTTGCGCCCAGTTTGGGTGCATCCTAAGCCTACCCTATTTAGGCATGAGGCATATTGCAGGGAGTCTGCAATGGTATACAAGTGATTCCACAGAGCTGTTCCTTCATTTGCAAGTAGAGGAATGCAGAAACATCTGCTATAGAAGCTGTAACACCCAACTGCCAGATGCCTAAATCTTTTCCATGGAGATGCTAGATAGCTCTTGATTGTGGATGATTTCCTGAAGCACCTTAGGATCCCTAAACCACTGCAAGTCCAAGGGCTTGAGGGGCTCGGCGTGGTGCAAGATCTGCTCCATCAAGCAGGGGCTTCCCAAAAGTTAGGGGTAATTGTTGGGGGTTCCCGCAATAAGGTGTGTAGTGTTTGGGTCTGTATTGAGGTCCCACTATTTTGGAAACCCTAAACCCCGTACCCTGTGCGACCACAAAAACTAGATCCTAAACTACCAAATTTGTACTTGTGTATTTTGGGAAACTACCAAGTATTATTTGTATAGTATAGTTTCCATTTTCTTTTCCATTACCCCAATATTTTTCCGAATAGAATATGATGGTTTCTATTTTCTTTTCCATTATTTGTATGCAGCTCTCCTCCGAGGCAAGGCCAGTGCGGCTCGCAGCAACTGGGAAGAGCCGCGGGCTCAGCGAGAACAAGTACGGTAGGGGTTACTATGTTATAGGGTTATATGCGGGTTCTATTGCGGTTATATAGGGTTATACTGGGGTTCTATTGGGGTTATCTAGGGGTTATACTGGGGTTATTTGAACAGTCTGAAGTAGTGCCCGCAGCATAGTTACCAAAGCAAGCGTTTACCTTCTTGGGTGGTTCTTCCTAAGGAAGCCTCTTTGTTTCTTGCGATATGTGACGAGCACAAGACAGAACAGTCCAAATGACAATCGGCGTGCGGAGCGTTCGTGCAATACCAGCTATGTAGTCATGGCAACAAAAGGAGCAGGATTTGAATGTATCGTCCTTTCAGCGCTGAATCTTTAGCGCTGATGTTGCTGTCAGCCCCTCCAAAGCCCCAAGCCCAACCCTGAACCCTAAACCTCAGCCTCAACTTCAAGCCTGAAGCCCAAAGTTGCGGTTGAAGGGGTGCCACGATCCTCGCTCGATTACATTTCCTAAGGGCCCCGTGTGCCAAATGAAGCACCTACACATATGTCTTCCTTGTCTGCATTAGTCGAAAAGTTCAGTTGTAGACAGAAGCTGCGAGGAGTAGTGCAGCGGACTACATTTATAGGCCCTGCAGGGGCACGCCGCGACTTCTTCGAAACGGGAAATTCTTACCTAAAGCGCGCTGCTTATGTGGAGAGCTCCAAAATCCCAGCACCGCATCACAGCAGCACACCCCAATCCTGAGTCCTCGTCCTGAACCTAAGCCTTTGAAGATTTCCTCTAAATCACACGGACAACATCCACCGCCCAGCCAGAGCTACTCTAGGGATCCATTCAAAACTCTGAACCCCTCCACCCTAGACCCTATACCCCAGATCCGAACCTAGAAGCTCTTGCTTCTTGGCAGTTGGATGGTGAATCTGCGTGGAGAGGATGCCACGTTCTTAGGGGGATCACGGTTTAGGGTTTACTCAGAACCTGGAAAATGAAACGGACCGTAGGTCGCTTTAAGGGATGCAAAGGGGTTTAGGATGTAGGGCTTGGGATAGAGAAGCATCAAGTGGAAAAGAACCCAGAAAATGAAATGGAAACTAGGCCAGTCTCGAGATTTCAAGGGGTAATTACCCATATTATGGCTCTGGATTCCTTGTGCCCTATGGGGTGTAGGCTGCTAGTCGGGCCCACATAATTAAGAATATTGTAGCTTAGGCTCCTTGCATATTTCTAGTCAACCGTACCTCAAATAGGCTTCAAACTGATGTTGGTAGCTATTCAGGCCCCTATCTTCGGCTGCAGCTTTTTGCGGATGAGCCTCTTCCCCACCCCCCCCCCCCCCCCCGGGTTGAGCATCCTAAGCCCTAAACCCTGAACCCTAAACTTCAAGCCCTAAACTGCATTTGGGCCCTGGGGCTGCTAGTGGTCTCCA